ACTGAATTTGTTTGCAAAGAAAGACTTTGTTTTCTTGGTAACAACATTCTGGTGGGGGAGGGGGGGGAGGGGTTGGCTTTCCAGTCAGATTGTGGTATTGTTAGTCTAGCAGTTAGGCTACCGGACTTGTAATCATGAGGTTGCAGGTTTGTAGGGTTTGAGCCTCAGGCCAACGTTGTGTTCTTGAAAAAGACACTTTACACGCATTTTCTTCACTTCACTCACGTGTGAATGGGTACCCGACCATAGACAGCAAAAGATCTTGTCAGTATGTTAGTTTTAGCACCTATGAATAGCAGCTTGCACTGTACGCTTTCCAGGAAGTTAAGCTTGTTTCAGAATGCTGTCATCAGGTCTGCTTGGGTAATAATATTGTTAAGTGCATAGCACTTGCTGTTGAGCAGTAATTTGCACTACAAATGCTATTATTACAGTCGAACCTGTGTAAAACCGCCACCCATTGTCATGGAGAAAAGTGGCCGTAAAAGTATAAGGCAGGGCTGATCAAAATGAAGAAAGTAAACCATTCCCCTCTGAAGTCCAAACTGGGGCTGATTCAGGCTAAGGACTGCCGCAGGGCGAATTCAAAAAGGTTTCTGGTTTTCTTTAATTTGAAAGGGGTGGGGGTGGAGGAGTGTAAGAAGGTGTTTTTCTGTTGTTCTTTGTTGGTTTATTATTTTGGTGGGGGGAGGGGGGGGGGGTTGATGTTAGCTTTTTGGTTGCTGTGCATTTAAAAACGATGAAGTCTGAGTGTCATAGTAAATCAAACACAGGATCTTCACCTCTCGGAGAATGAGCGACGCTTCTGTCGCAAGTTCATGTTAATGTCCATTGTTATACTTTGTTAATAATAATAAGATTAGGTAAACAACACAGTGAACAGTCACGTCACGTACAATTTGTGCAGGAGTTGTGAGCGGGGCTTTTTAAATTTTAAAGTTTATGACGGACACGCACTTCCCTCACCAGCAGTTGAAAATGTATTGTTACCCATTGGTCAACTTGGGTAAACATGCATTGGGGGGACTAACAATAATGACAGGTGAATGGATTATGACAGCCCATCCGATTTAGAATTTATGACATAGCATTGGGTGATTATAGAGACCACGTCTGGCCGCCTAAGGCAGGTAAATTTGGCTCTGGGTTGATAAAATAAGGTCGCCGCAGCCGCGTTGGACAGGTGACCGTTTTACACAGTTGGAGAATATATAGAAAAAAAGCAAGGGGGGGAATGGAAAGAGGCCGTCTGTACAGGTGGCTGTCATAGCAGGTTCGGCTGTAATATTATATTGTAAAAATTGCACATACTTAATTTTTTTTATTGACAGCAGTACAGTTGGGCAAGATAACATGAACATGGGAACCTTGAAACCATGGATAGCTTGTACAATTTGCCATTTCCCGGCTGATATCTCTTTTTTCCTTATAAAAATCGTTTAACCTGAATTATGGATGTGTGTCAAACTCATTTGTCAGCCCCCGACATGTTTGAGTTATCCATGTCCAGCGACATTGTCGGTTGATGCAATATTTCGGTCTTAAATAGACCTACATAACATAAAGCATATTGACTATTAGAGTCTGTGAAGTAGGAAGAGAGAAAGACAAGACAGGACAGGGGAAACGGCACAGAGAAGGAGAAGAGAGAGAGGGAGGGTATGCATTTCACCAGGGAACCCATTACTGCTCCATGACTCCATGTATTATGGTAGCATGTTAGATAATTAGGAAATATAAAAGCCTCACTGCTAAATCAGAAGAATATGACTGACGTTGACTTTCACTCGGACCTGCACCTGCATGCAGCAGTCGTTCAAATGTTTGAATGGGTCCAACTGGGAATGGGAGTGTTTTAGTCTCTCAAGAATATCAGACCAAAGCCTTGGTTCATTAATTTAGTCCGTTCCACTTCAGCGCCTGACATTTTTGACCACTCGTTTCATTCCAACGCAAGTGGATTACTTTTGTGAAACAGTTTACATTCCTTTAAACAGTATGACCAGTGCCTGTGGTATACGGGTTAGGCGCTGCATCACCGCATGAAGTATGAAGAAAATGGGAGTTTGATTCAAATGTGGGGAGAATTTTTATCAAGTAAGCCTACCCATGTCTCTCTGCCGAGATGTTTCCTCTCTGCCCAGGTTTCCTTGACAGACAGGTTCATATATACCCCGCCTCCTAAATTATCTTTAAAAAACCTACAAAGTCCAAAATGCCAGCATCATGCAAGATTTTTTTTATAGTACATGTAGAGGGTTTTACGGCGCTCGCAACTGCATACGGTCATATGAACGCCAAGGGGTGGGTGTCAACAGAGAAGTCTTTACAGGGAATCAGACTTAGACTGCTCACCTCTCTTGCTTCAACAGCACAAGGTCTGCTTCGACGATCAAGGCACCCCAAAATAGCAGGTTATAAGAGAGTGACAAACATACAAAAGAAGTAGAGGAAAATGACAATAGTAAGGATCAGGAAAGAAAAAGCAGCAGTTCCCTGTTGTAGATCAGGCACAGTTATGAGCGAAACATGAGTCGGCCCATTTACAATTCTACTATGCTTGAACGAGGAATGTCCCCCCTTTGGGAATGGCGTAAAGGCACTTCAGTCAGTGGCACTACCTCGGGGGGTTCCTGCCAGATTGCCAACCACATTACAATATATTTACAAACAGCCATAAATTGATAAAGTACAAAACAAGCATGTTTTATTAGTTTTAATAAACAGAAACACTTTTGAAAAGCAAAAAAAAGGCCTTTTCCCTTGATTTTATTACAATTACATCAAACAAACCAGCCTGTGAAGAGATATTTCTACATAAAACAAAGCACTTGTGAACTTTTCTGAGAGCTAGACAAAAAATTCCACTGCTTGTATTGAAAGCGGGGGCTTGTGGTACCACTCACTGTCACTCAGTATTTAGATTAACATGTTAGCTCAACAAACGTTTTTATTCTTAAAAACAGAATGTCTCTAAAAACACTGCAATTTTCATTTTGATGCTTCAGTTACACTGAACATAAAGCGACAATGAATTGGTATTCATGTCAGGAACCTACAGAACTTGCACCAAGTTTTTTTTCAAAACAGCTAAACACAATTTTGCTTCGGCTCTGAAATAATCACATGTAACTCACAGCATTTAGACAAAACGAATCTCTCTGCGCATTCCTTGATGTAGAGCAATCTGCACAAGTTAAATTAGAGGAAATTATAATGGCTTCACAAGACATGTCTAACAATCTAATGCAACTGTGCAAAAATGACAACAATCAAAACATGTCGGAGGAAAAGAAATAATCATCTGTAAAATGGAGTTTGAACCTTATTCACATGAAGATGATCATAAGCCTACTGTTTGTGAAACAGTAACTTGTACGTATAGATTAACTACAGTCCAGTACGCACATGACATAATCGACAATACGCAGAATCTTATCATTATGTACAACTTTCAGACTATATCAAGGGGGATCAGATAAACAAAGTTGGTCAACCAAGTCCAAATCTTACATGATTTATTCCCCCCAGCCAGAACCTGTTGATGAAGCCATGGAAACACTGCCTACTGATCTGACTCAATACTCCAGCTACCAGTGAGTTAAAATGTAAAGATCAGATGTATTTTTATTATCCAGATACTGACACATTGGTTTGTTGCTTCACCCCACCCGCACCCATATACATGGATGCATGTATGTGCGCATACACCCGTACACATCTCTCACTTTCACACCTCTCTTCCACACACATAATATGCTAAAACACACAAACAGACCAACAGTCACACCCATATCAATTATGATATAAACGAACAATTACTGTTAACAAAAATAATGCCAGATACATGATAATAAGTATTCAGTAGACCTTTAACTCACTGGAGACTGTGGCTTTTTCGGGTCCACATGCTCTGAAGACTGGCGTTTTTGGGGGTATTTCAACATTTCAAACAACACCTTTCCCAAAGACATACAACCGCCATTTATACATAGATCTAAACATGCCCAATATGACACAAAAAACAGAAAGGCAATAACTTTTAAATTTTTTTACAAGTGATTTTTTGAAAACGTGCTAAAATTTGTTGCTCGCCAAAAATTTTTGATGTAATATCTTGTGTAAAAAAAATAATTTTTTAAACCCAAAATTAACCTTGTGTGTGTCTTTTTACTGTGTTTTGTGTTTCAAAATGAATAAAAAGTCCAAACTCAATAGGCAGTTAATCGATATATGGTAATCATCATATATTAGCTTCAGTGTGAAAAAAAAAAGGGCTCCAGACAAAGCGGAATTTTGCATTTGAAAGCCTAGTCTAGATCTACAGCACTCTCTATCAGAATCAGTGCTTTGATGCTCATTTACATTGAAATCAGGATCCCCATGCTCTAAAATATCATAATCAGAATTTTCTGAACTGTCAAAGTCGTGCGAACACTTGAAAAATGTTGGCTTTTTCGTGCTGCCAAGCGGGTGCTTTGGTGTGCTTTGCTACATCTTTCCTATTAAACAACTCTCGTCCGGATCTCTCCTCCTCCTTTTTTTGTTTGTTACTCCCTTGTAACACCTAATCTTCGGCACTTATATGATCTTATTGTGTTGTAAGTGCCGTAAAACTTCTACTAAGCATAAAGTACTGACAAAGTGTTGCGAGAACAGACATGTCGAAAAGTGAAAGTACGGCCTCAGTGTGACTAACTTTCCTTACGGGTCCATAACTCAAAAAGTTTCAAGCCAATTGCGGTGAAACTTTGCACAAAATGAAACAAAGGTCGGCTGCACGATAGGAGACAGTTCACGTAGAATTTGCACGCATACTTTGCCGAGGAAAAGACGCGAAACTTGTGCTTGCAGGGGGTGCGTGAACCACCTCTCGGGAAATTATTGGTGTTAGCAAAAGCTGCATGAAACGTCTCCAGTGAGTTAAGTCTTCTGTGATGTATGCAATATTGGCCTATACTATTGTCCTTGCATTTCAACAGAGGTTGTTGCTGTCTCTCTCTCTTTATTTATCTTTCTCTCATCTTATAGCTACCTCGGTAAGTGAATTTGCGGTCAGGTTTGATTAGACCTGCCCTAGTGACACCCTTTTGCTTCATACGAATTGTTTGCACCATCTATGCGTGTTTTTTTAACACAAATAACCATATTATAAGAGATGAGACCTCCGCCCTTCGACCACGCACCTCATTTTTCAAAACCCCTAATAAACACTACAGCTCAAAATAACTGACAATTGTAACCACAACACATATATAGACAATACAAATTACGGGATACGCTCTCATGAACGAAGAGCACAAAACTGTTGGAAAACTTCTAAAATGTGGATGTCAATGTCACTTGTGAAGAGAAGGAGCTCCAGTGTGCTGACATAGCGGTACACTAGCTCATGATGCTGAAAAAGAGCAAATTAAATTACCGTAAACAGGAGAATTTTATTTTGCACATATCGTAGAAGGGGGGAAAGACCAGGAACATCATAAATAACTGTCAGAAATAAAGTGGTCAAGTCCTAGGACACAAGGAACTTGAAGTAAATCATGATCAAAAATGGAACTTCTGGACACATGCTACTGATGTTGTCTCAAAGATCAAATAATAAACAATACACAAGTCAAAATTACAAGTAAAAATAATCCCCTACAGTTTAGTAATCCTTGTTATAGAAACCTCACACGTCTTTAAAATCAAAATGAATGGACAAAGAACAACAAACCTAAGAAAGTGGGTACGGTAGTTAGCTGGTGCTCTACTGTGGTTTGCTCCTTCTTTCATAAAATATCTATCGTCCTAATCTCTTTTTTAATTTAACTCATTAATTAGAAAATGAGAAAAGTAGAATGTACAACATACCACTAGAAAAACTTGCTGTAGTCGCTCAATGACCCACTTAAACCACGGGGTGTTGTAGTCCACTGACGCAGATTCGCACCTTGCCAAATGCTCAGTTAGAACAATCATGAATCTCTGAAATAAAAAATGTTATTTATCATGAGGAAAAAATAATTTAACAGAAATCCAAAAAATATTCTTCAGCTTGCTAGCAAGCCTAAGAGATAAGACAGATGAAGGACACAAAAACTGATAATGACAACATTACATTCAAATAGAAAGTCTTCATTTTTCTAAACTACATAAAACCATTTTTAGTCCGAAAAGCTTTTGTTTTTCTGTTTTATGTTCATACGTGAATGTATACAACTGAATGCATACGAGAGTAGGCCTATATAGTGGGACCCAGCTATACTAAACCCCTGAGACTGACAATAAATCCCTGCTATAGCCGTATCCTGTTATAGAAAGGGATCAAGATTACCTATTGCTACTGCAACTAATGTTTAACAAATGGGATCCTTTTTTATTCATACAATACCCACTATAAACTTATCAGATATTGCTCCTATCTTTTCCAGTGATACTTTTGCTTCTCCACTTTATCTTTCTTTTTCTAGGTACAACAAGCACGCACTTCTATTTGTTAGAAAATTCTTTTACTCTGGAAGAGTTGCCGACCACTGTTTCTCCTCCCATTACAAAGTTCACAATGACTCTTTCTCAAAGAACTAAAAACAGCTGGAAAAATCAAATTTATGCCTCTTGCTTATTTAAAGTCTGAATGTCTGTGTCATTTTTAAATATCTTCTCGAGAACGTTATTTTTCCTAGAAATTTGACTTCAATAGGTTGCTAGCGAAGAAAGTGTACCCTGTCAGGTTCATAGTCGCCTCACTAATTTTGCTATTGGTCTGAGGCTTTTTAGAGTTTAGAAAGAGAGATGACATCCCTGGTGAGAGGTAAAGGAGAAAAAATTTCAAAAACTGAAATTTGCTGCAAGCATGGTATTCCCAAATGTACATTACCAACAATCAATCATCGCTACTTGGGCAATCTCTCTAAACCAAAAACATAGCTAATCCAAAGAAAATCTGGCAGTCCCACAGATAAGTGGACTCCAATGCATTCGTACTCTACAGCATGCCCTGTGCCCCTTACAACTTTTCCTGACTGAATTATCACATTTGAGAAAAGGAACACAAAACATATCTAAGGAAAATCCCACATCTACAGCCTACTTTTCATTCAATCATTTATTCCTGTTACCCCACAGAAAGAAAATGTGACTATGTGGTGCCAGAACATGGTCACGCTTAGTAACTAATTGAAAAATTTGTAAAAACATCAATCAGTGTGAATTCAGCTTTCCCTCCCTCCCCTACACACACAGTTTGAGATACCATTTTATATAAATGTATAATCAACTTAGACCTGTGGGTCATGCCTTGGTATGACGTTAGTTTAGTCATAGACCACTGTAACATGCTAACCTGGAAAATAACGAGGAACAGATTTTTCTGAGCGCTTGTGGCAGCTTCCAGTTTCTCTTCCATTCTTTCAATGGCTTCATCACTGGGCACATCCTCGTCACCCAGGTCTAGACCATCTGCCTCCTTGAGAACAAATTTTAATTGAGAAAAGGAAAATGAAAGCAAGAATATTGCATAAATACTTATTTTCAGAGATGATTCTAAATTTAAAATTTCATACAGTATACAAATCTTTACGCTAAAAGGGCATCAAAACTACTAAAAGTCAATTTGCATAGAATGTGTTCACATCATCACAAGTAGAACCAATACCTGTAAGAACAGAAAAAAATTTACTGACAATATAAGAATAATGTACACATAAGTAAATCAAAAGGACAATAAGCATGGTTAGCTCTCTAGGGAAGTTCAACTCTCTACCATACAAATAAAATCAATTGTACCTAACAGACCTCATTCTTAGTTTCTTTGCGTTCCCTTTCTAGATCTCAAGAATAGCCAACTGCTGGTTCTTCAACTCGCAGAACAACTGATTTTTCCGTACATGACGGTTTTTCATGAGTAGGGCCCTTGCCTTCAGGCAGCCCTATTCCAATTTCGAAGGCACTTTGTGTTTTTATACTGACAAGAGGGTAGGGGGGTGAGAAATGGTAGATGTAAGCAGATAATAGAACATTCCTATAGAAAAAAGGAGAAAATTTATCCATTGCTGCCAGGTTTTGAACCCGGGACCTATTGAGTGAGAGGCAAACACCGTACCTCTAGACAACGAGAAGCCTACAGTCCTCAAAATCAGTCAATACAGTTGGTATTTGACAAACAAGCTCTATACAAACATGCCTTCCTTTTCACAGCTTCCTGTTTGTCATGAGCTTCATCCACTTCATGCTGGAGCTGGTCAACATGCCGACTCATCTTCTTAATGGTGCTGTGCATAATCTCCCACACATAAAAGCTGGAAATAGAAAAATTATTCACAAATTTATATACAGCACTGGTATGGGTTACAGAATACAAACTGCAGATTTCGCTTCATATGATCTTCAACAGTCACGACACTCTCAACACACAGATAACACAAACACTCAAAATCATGGATAGCTCATACAATTATGCCATTCCTCAACTGAACCGCTATATTTTTTGGGTATTGACAACATTGTTTTTTCGAACAACTGCGCAGATTTTTTTGTCAAATATCTTGTCTCGAAAAACACTATCAAATTTTTCCTCTCAATTGTCTCAAATTCAAATTGTGCTCTCGATGGGAAACAACACATCCATCGTCATTAAGAGAATCAGGTTATGTGAGGCCACCAGGCTTCCTTCCCCCCCCCCACAAAGCGTGATACACACACTGCTGGTATTGAAACAAATCATTACACATTACCTGGAGGTGTGGGGAGAGGCACTGGAACTTCTTTGAATCACTTTAGTTTCAGTTTTAGTAAAAGTTTTATGGCACTTGCAACACAATAATGTCATTTAACACATTACACCCTAAGGGCCTGGATGGGAAGTCCATTGTTAGATCCTAAGCAAGGGGAAAGAACCCACCTCCCCTGAATACTAGCCTTTAAAAAACACATTTTAAAAATACTAAACAAATTCCAAAAATCCTGAAAAAATAAAAGTTAAAAAGAAAACTGAATGTAGTTTCAGAAAAATATAACTTTATGTATGCGCAAACTGTTGGAAATGTTCTCACTTTAGTTCAATCGGGGTGTCCGACCCGTCACTCTCACTCTCAGCCTCGCGGTCGGGCCCTAGATCTAAATTCTATAATTTCTCCGTCTGATCAATCGGAATCGCCCCAAACTCTTCCAACAACGTTTTCATCAAAATCTGAGCCATCTGATTTGTCACATGCTCGTTTTTGCTCAAATCCATCGTTATTTCCGTTTTCTAACTCAATTGTGTCACTTTTCAACAAGTCGAGGCACTTCCGAAGTGTCGGTAACGCGATCGCACTTCGATCAGCTCTAATATTAAAACTACTGGCCCGAAAAATTTCGTTTCGGTATCAAACGAAAGAAGAAACTTTTTGCTATACTATGCAAATCAAAATCCCGGCCCCAGAGTCTCGTCAAGGCGAGACTTTCGTTTCTAAAGACGCTGGGTCGGCGCGGGCGGTTCCGGGCGAGTCAGGGTGGAGCGCGTAAGGATATTCCCGGGCCATCCCGGGCGAGTTAGGGTGTAATGTGTTAAGTGCCGAAGAATAGAGATGTCACAAAAGAGTAACAAAAAAAAATAAGGAGTGATCAGGACAGTAGATGTTTCATAGAAAAGAAGGAGCAGACCACACCAGAGCACTTTCCAACTAACCACCCACAATGTAAATGTCTACCTTGTAAAATCATGCTGCATCTCGAAAGAAAAGAGCCAGTTTGCAACAGATGAACAGTCAACAACTTCCGTCCTCAACAATTTGTCCACCAGAACTACCATCATCTGGAAAGAAAAACATCACACACTATTCAATTGAAAATCAAACACCAGTCATTTCATTTCAAAATGTGATTTTTACTTCATTTACTACTAGTTCTGAAACAATTTGCCATTAAACAAAAGCATATATAATAATACAGTGATCCATTAAGACCCTGGTACATACCTCCGAAGCTTTTATTATATTCTCTTTTTACTCCATAAAAAATATGTGAACAACAAAATTTAGAACCAACCAATGCAGCTTTACCAACTGAAACATCAATAACATCAAGTCGCGACCCCAGTGTTTTCTTGTCGTATCTCCATTTTTGTCAGCAGGGAAAATGTGACTTCTTCTTAAGCTCACTCTTTGTAATGAACTGCTTTCACTTGTATTAAAAATGGAGATACGACGAGAAACCACTGAGGTTGTGAAGTATTATAGTTTCTTAGATTTAGCATCATGATTCAAAATCTGGAGCAACACTTCTTTCAAATCAGAAGCCATGAACTTTATATTATAGATTTGTAAACAGAAGAGAAGAACCTCAATATCCACTGTATTACCAGCCAAAAATAAAGAAAATATATCACCAAATACAAACCTGCTGGTTATTTTTCCACGTTTCATAAAGAACTTTGAGTAAGCACACTTTCCCATCATCAAATTCTGCCAAGGACTTGAGATTGGGATGAAATCTGTGAAGTCAGTGAAAAGATTTGAATTACATGTGACCTTAAGATTTTCGGCTGAATAGAGTAAACCTTCATTAACCCAAAATCGACAGCTACAAAAACCTTCCAAAGTGCCTATCTCGATCATTATTGCGTAATAGCTTCTTGCTCGTGGCAACCAACCTCTGTCTGGATATTTCCAAAGACTAATTACAAACAAAGGAAATCTCTCTCATTGTCCGGTTTCTGTACATATGTTTCAGTAATCAGCTTTTATAAAAGAAATTATTCTCATATTTTTTTTACAGCTTTCCGGGGCTCTTCACCTTTCCAGATGAGATTGAATGTAGATTTTATTTATCAAATCCCTGTGGCAATCTATTCGGAGAGAGGGTAATTTTCAGACCAAGGTCTAAGGCAGGATTCGATTGACTTAAAAACATTTTTAACGGTCATAAGTCACATGGACTTTTCCTGTTAAGATGGATGATCTTTTACATAAAACAATAAAAGCAAAAGTTTTCAGTTACTAAATCCTGGACACCGCAGGAACATCTATTCACTGGTTTGTAGGGGAGGGGGGCAGAGCTCGTGCATTTTTTAAAAATCATAGCTTTCTTAATTATTCATGTAACTTTCTTTCTCGAACTTTGACAAAATGTTAGAAATAGGATAATATAGACTTAATTAAACAACAAAAGTTAGAACGTAAGAAAAAAATGGGTGGAAAATCTATTGTGTTCGTTAGCAACAAACAACGGAACTGGGCTCACCGCAAGTGGCTACCATTTAAAAAATTTGTGGAAAATCTATTTCTTCAGTTAGAGAGCTTTGTTCAGTAAGAATAAAATTTGAAATGAGGGATAGAGTTTATCTACTTTTAACATGTACTTGCAGAAGTAGTGGAGGAGCTGCAAATAGGAAAATATCACACATGTGAGATAAACTGATTCAGTGAGTTTAAGTAATGAGATGTACAATGGTGATTGTTTTAAGTTATAATGAAAAAAGTAATAAAGATGTATGTTCCACTTACTTTGCAAGGGCTGCAAACGAATGACTTATAGACTTTGATCCCAAATGGAGAAGAGTAGCAAAGAACACATCAATCTTCAGGGGATTGAAGGCTGGATTTTCTGTGAATTGAAACAATGTTTTGTTTAGTAGCACACACTTAAAACAGCTTCTATCCAACCCATAAGCTTTTTACTGGCAAACATGATGCAAACAATTTTACTATTGCTAATTCAGTTTCAATAAATATTTACCAATATCATTATACTATAGTCCATAAATGTGGATATGAGATAGAAACCTCAACTAAGTTCCTTCAACCTACAAAATATTGATATATATGGTTATGGCTTTTCTAATGACAATCTAAATTGAAATGCAAACAATACAACGAGCTAGGAAGAGAAGCAGCACAATAACACAATTATAAATATCCCTAGAGCCTAAAATGGGTAAAATCCAGAACAGAAAAAAAGGAAGAGAGAAAGAAAAGGACAAAAAAACAAGACTACCTACTCTAAAACACTTATTAAATGGATTGGATTTGGTCATTCTATATTGAACTGTTTTGTGTAAGGGCACTGCTTTTCTGGCATTAAACTCAAAGGGCACACAATGATGATCTAAGATGCCACACTAATGCATCAGATTCTGCATAAATGAAGCGATATCCTTGGCATTGCTTATCACAAGATTTAAAATGTGTCCAGCTAAGTGTGTAGCAATTTCAACATGTTGCAAATAGGAAGACCCAAAGAAGTTGCAAATAGGAAGACCCAAAGAAGTTGAGAAATTTCTGAGTACAGCAATCAATTTTGTTATCAATATTACAACACATCAAACAATTCTTCTTACCATTCTCTTGACCATTTGGGTACTGGTTTGGCAAATCCTTGAGAAGAATGGCAGCCTCATCAGGGGTGCATTTACTTTTGATTGAGCTGATCAGCTTGTGGGCATGTGTTGTACCAGGAAGTGACCCTGTGTACAGAACAAGTCATGAGAGAGATTGATCTCTGAACATGTTTCACAATAGTGCCAATCATATTTAAGAGAAGAAGCAAAACATCAGTCATTGTAAAAGCATCTTAGTTTTTAATTATAGTAAGAGTTCTACGGCACTTGCAACACAATAAGGTTATATAAGTGTCGAAGATTAGAGATGTTACAAGAGAATAACTAACACAAAAAAGAAGGAGGAGAGATAAAAAATATAAATGTTTGATGGGAAAGAAGGAGCAAACCACACCAGAGCACCCGCCAACCACCCACAAAGCGTCTTAGTTAGTTTTATGTCTTCAATGAGGACATTGTAGACATAATATTCAGTTTAGCGAAACAAAACAAAAATAAAAGAGACCAAAAAAGACATTCATTCTACTGCATCTTGTCATATTTTAAAAAGATGCCACAGTGTGTGTTGAAACACTTCAACCACAGACCATGAATAGTCTCACATGCGCATAATGAACAAATTTTCAGGTCCCGAACTGCTTTCTTATACATGCATACTTGATGTATCTAAAACATGTTAACCGCAAAATTCATATACAATGAAAAGATTTCTGCATCCCATCGATTTTGCGATGTGCAAGATTGACTTTAACAGGGCTGCCCACCCACCAGCATATGTTTCAGTAATCGGCAAATAAAAAAAGTATAATCTGGTGTAAATATTTGTAATATGGCTATAGACTATCTTCTTCTCTGAGGTGTCAAGGACAGGAGTTGCAGTCAAGCAAGTATAAAAGAAACGCAAAAAAGGTATGATGAAAAAAAGCAGTCTTGATGGGTTCATCACTAGTCGAGTTAAGAAAAAAAGGGCAGAAAATGGGCCATTGTATTAAGTTTGAAGCAATGATCCAGTTTTTTTCAATTATCTCCCACTGACCTTGGCTGTGACACACAGCACAAAAATACAGGAATTGTTAACACTTTATCAACCTAATGTTTACCTTACTCCTGGATTTGGCACTTCTTAAGTCTAATGCCTTTCTGAGGGCAAAGTGCCACTGAGCAACTACAAGGGCTCAAGGCAAAGAGGATGCTCAAGTTAGACATGAGCGCGTGACATAGTCCGTCCCCGTCGTTTTATGCAAGAACAGTTTTGAAATTATGCAAACTGAGCCCAAAAATGTGAAATTATGCAATTCTGTTAATTTTAACAAAGAATGATAGAGGAAAATAATCAGAAATTATGCAAAAAAAGATCAAATTTTGCTAAATTATGCGGGGTGCATAAAACCTCGGGGACAGCATAGTGATGTAGACTGTCCCGGTCTGATAGTTTTTCTCCCCTTATACACTAGGAAGGTTGGCAGTGAGTTAGAATAGCCGAATTTTTAAAAAATCGGAATCTAGGGTATTACAAACGTATTTTCGTAAAACTAAATAAGAATCGCGACGATTCCGCAAAATTCATAATGATGGGCAGCCCTGCTGCAAGGAGTAAGTGAGATTTACACACCTGCTCCTTCCTGCTCGTATCTGTAGACTGGATTTGGTTCAGGAGGTAGAAGAGGGGCAAATGAATCTGGGACGGATTCAGACACTCGTTGATGGTACGAGAACCTGTGGAACAAACAACTTATACTAAAATTTACACCTCACGTACAATAAAGTTACAACACAACAACTTTTAAAATTTTCTTATAATTATTACTTATAGTACTTTTCCATCTCCTCAATTTCCATAAAGAATGGGTTCAATTGAGCTGAAATCAGAAAAGACAAACCATACCTGAGACATTTTAGCAGCACTTCTCTCACAAACTTAGACTTGGGTGCATTTGGATCCATCTCCACACACTCAGCCCAGTCATCCCAGGACCATCTGTATTGGAAGTTGCTCAAGTGATAGGAAAACCACATGACAAACCTACAGAAGAGATGCAAATCAATTGTACGGGCAAAAGAAGGCAATAACGCATGATATATACTGAAACCAAAAAAAGTCCATGTAATATTCATCCAAAGTCACAGACCAATGGGAAATGCATAAAGAGTGGTGGAACCTCAGAGAATCTTCAAACTCTCCATGATACAGCCAAAAGTTTGATTGGATTAAGACATTTAATTTACCAGTAGGCTGTACACAATAAGCTTAATTGAATATGGAAAATGCATACTCTTTCTCTATACCTGATGATGGGCAGTGTTTTCTGCTAAAGGAATAAACCTTGTATTTCTGCCCAAATATTTAGAAGACAATGAATTACAAGTCAGTCAAGCTAGATCTAACAGTAATCTGCCCAATATAATCACCTGTAAAAACAACTCCCCCCTCTCCCTGAGTTTTTTCTATATTCTTATGACACTGTTCAAGATGTCCACCTTTCTAAGACAACGGCTTTTCTCCTTGCCAGTGGGTGGCGCCGTTAACACTTTGCTATCACATTTTGGGGAAAATCCAAAGAAATTGGGAGGTAAACATAGGCGATGGGCGCGATGAGGCGACAAAGTGTACAACAATTCCGACTGTACTTATCACAAACTTGTTTCTTCTACATTACACTGACTCAAATACAAAGCCAATGTACTTACCGTTCAATGCAAATGGAATGCATTGTCTCAATCCTCTCAAACAACATCTCAGAAGCTTGGGCTAGCTGAAAAAAGGGGGAAAATGTGTTTTTAATCTGTGTCCTAAGACATATCTTGCTTTCTCCCTTCTCAAAATTCTCTTATCATTTATCCCACTTTACTAATTCTGTACACAAGTTAAAGAAAAAACAAGTCGCTCTGAAAAAAAACCCCACAAGACAGTCCCCCAAAAAGTAAACGAGCTCCTAAATGAACAGGAATTGGCTCAAATACTTTTACTCTATAACTTTCATTTTCAAATAACTCTACTGCAGGAGCAATGCTATTAAACAAATTCAGCTTCTAAACAGGGTCCTCATGAGATAGGAGTTTCACTGTATAACAGCTGTTACTTTATGGTTCAAAACAGCACATTAATTTTGATAAAAGTTTATTCGGTTAAAGTTTTACAGCATTCCAAGCTGTACATGGTTATATCAGTACGCCAGACACAAGTTGGTTATTTTCACATTATTCGTGGCACAGCTTGATTTTACTTTGTGAGTCAAAACGGTTGAAGTATCTAAAATTATATCAGGTAAAATTTAGATTAAAAAACAGCAATTTATAATTTTAAATAACACTATTTACATCTTTGAATAATAAACAAATGGTCTTAATAATATCCAAGATCCTGTTGATAAAGGAAATATTAAGTCATGGTGTCCATACAACAAACATACCACTTCTGGCATTGAAGTTGGCTGCAGTTTGCAGAGTTCGATGAAAGTTGCACCATAAAACAAGTCAATATACGGGGATCTTGGCAGCTCAAATAACTGTCCAAACATGACCTGTGGGGACAACAAAGTACTTTAAAAAGCCTGTTTTAACTTTAGTAAAAGTTTTATGGCACTTCTTACAACATTAAAAGGTTATGTTTTTTGTTTTTGTAAAGTGTTTTACGGCGCTCGCAACTGCATAAGGTCATATGAGCACGCGGGACACACCTAATATTTTCAGTTGGTAGGAAATTTTTTATTTTGCCCGGGTGGCGGCCGAAGCCTACTCTTATCGATTTTAGACCACCAAGGGATCTTTAACGCGTGCAACTTGCACACGGGCCCTCCGAGGTTTTTCGCCCTTTACCGAGAAGGCTAGGTGCAGATCTTTCCTACCAGAAGATCAGGGGTGTGGCAGAAAGACAGCAGTAAGGAGGAGCCAAGGAGTAGCAGTAGAAAGGCTGCAGAAAGAGTCAGGAGCCCAGAGAAGGGGGCAAAGGAGGTGATGGGGTGGGGGCAGAAAGTGGAAATGAAAGCAGACAACAGAACATGGCTAGAGAGCAGGAAAGGAGGAGAAAGGAGACAATTTTAGAGAGAAAAAAATTTCAGTCACTACCCGGATTCGAACCCCGGACCTTTGAATGAGAGGACAACACCTTAACTTCTAGGCCACGAGAGCCCCCTATTAAAAGGTTATAAAAGTGCCAAAGATTAGAAGTGTTACTAGAGAGTAGCATACTAAGAATAGAAGGAGGAGAGATATGACTGATAATGTTTGATACAAAAGAAGAAGCAAACCATACTAGAGCACCCGCCAACCACCCTGTTAAAAAAACCTGGTGTCTTAATTTGTTCTTAATTAGAGGTACAAAATAATCAAATAAAAATGATATCACATTCAAGAGAAATGATCTTCAAAGGTAAGAACATCACTACAAGGGCGAAAAATATCAAAGGGCAAGTGTGCAAGTTGTGCACGTTAAAGATCCCTTGAAGTGGTCTAAAATTGATAAGAGTAGGCTTCGGCCATTACCCGGGCAAAATTCAAAATTTCCTACAAAATGAAAAAGTTTAATATGTTTCGCACGCTCATATGACCTCATGCAGTTGCAAGCACCGTAAAACACTTACCAAAAAAAAAAAAAAAGAACATCACTCTTATTGTTTTCTTATGATGGGAATTAATTTAAGAAGCATGTAAAATTTAATTTCAAATCTACCAGTGGAAAGATTACAAATTAACCAGTACAGTAAGCAGGTCAACAATGAATCATTCTGCACAATAAAGAAAGGCGTAAATTTCAGCATACTTGAGAGAGTGTAACGATTAAGCATTTCAATAAAGTTATCCATAACAGATTCAACATAAACCAAAATCCACATCCATTTCAACAACAATGAAAATTGTCTAACCTCCACAATCATGTAGTTCAAAGGAATCTTATTCTTTGCTGGATACCCTAGAAGCGCTGCAGCACTGAAAATATTAAAAACAATGAATCAGAGAGTCTCAAAGTTCTCTGAGATTTCTCTTTCAAAGTACACAGTGAAAAAAAAGAACTTTTCAAGCTGAACAGTATATTCAAAATTACTGATCAATGTATTTTTATTTTTTTTAGTACAGCTGAACTGTAGGTCTGGGTTAGCTGACAATGGCACATGAAGGTAGAAATAGCTTATGAAAAGTCTTTCTTTTAGATAACAAACAACAATGAGGGAAAGCATTCAAAATAAATATGCAGTTCAAGAGGATGTAAATATAACAAAATCCTACAAACTGCATAGATAACAAAATACAGATGGCATGCTTATGAGTAGTCTTTCTGCATAATTTACCATTCTTTCCTTTCCAAATTGTTTGTGTGAATGATTCTGTTCAGCTGTTCCTCGATCAGATAGCGTTCAATAGCATGACTGCCGGGCAGCACCGTACCCTGTTATCATGAATGCAAATGAATAAGATGTAGATTTTCAAGTATCTGTCATTTAATTTACATGGGATTATGTAAACAGAGGCTCCACAAGAAGTACAGTACCACAGACTTGTAGAGCTTGAGCATTAAAAAAACATGAAAAAAGACATCACCTAAAGAAAAAACACCAGAACGACAACACACACCTTGTCCTAGGGTCAATGAAAAACTGACCAATCTGAACTTTTCCTTCACACAAAAAAAAAACCCACACGAGACCAACATTAACAGAATGTGGAAGATCCTTTCTACATGCTAGGGCCAAAAATAACTGATTAGGGTTAACTCACTTGCGACTGGGCCCTTTCACCAGTCACAAGCGTTGAAGACTGGCGTTTTTGGGGGTATTTCAATAAATCACCACAACTCTCAGAATTACCCTATTGTAATCATTTTTTGACACAGTAAAGTAACATTCAAGCTTAATCTAATACAAAAAACTAAAGTTGTCTAAGTCTAATACTTTAATTTGTATGATTTTTTAAAAATTGGCATGAATTTGATTTTCCGAAAAATTTCCAGAGACGTGACAAGTAGAATGAAATTCACTGCAACAACAAAAATAAAAGTTCAAAGTGTTCTGGTTTGATTTGTATACATGTGCGAGTGTTTGGTGAAAATATAAAAGCTGGTCTGTGCATTGATTCAGACCCATACACTGAATTACATGAGACAGATGTACGGCACGACGTTGTGATTTCGTTGCGCGAAAAACAACACCGGTACTAGAATCTAGTGCTAGATCTAGCCCTAGAACTACGACTCGGGACGTGTTCGGGTACATATCCAGGATCCTAACTATTAGACATATCATATTCTGAGACACTAGAACTAGTCAAACGCACAGAAGTATAGAAAAAGGCGAAATTATGTGATTCTTGTTCATGCGACTTCTTCGACCGTTACTACGACGCGACTGTCGGATTACTATCAGCTGTATAGAAAAAAACAAAGCGCGAGTTCCGGTCTGTTCAACCTCAGTTGGGGTCACTGTCCTTTACCTTCAATAACTTAAAAACTACCGGCCCCAGAGATACGAAACGAAGTCTAAGTAGCTCAGGCTTGGCCAAACAAGGGTACGAGGCGGGTCTCGCGATCCGTGCGTGATTTGTAGAGCGAAAAAAAATTCCAAAGTTGGTCACGCAGGGCTTGTGAGACCCGTCGCGAGCGTCGCGGCGGGGGTCACGCAACTGTTGTGTGACCCGTCTGAAGTGAGTTAACCTAGAACTTCACTCACATCTTCTTGTCAACCAATCAGAAGCCTTCCTTCAGAAATCATCAAACACAATCATTCTAGTTCATGATGCTCATATCTCATAATATCAAGCCATTGTATATATTTATATAAAGGCAATAGAGAAATTTTTGGACAAAACACAGAAAAAGGTCTTTGGATATATTCTGACACTAAGAAAACGAGTTCATTATAATTTTGGTTGAAATTAACCAAATTTGCAAAAAAGATATGTCTACAGTTTCAGCCATTCGATTGAAACAAGAGAGCTGACATATATATAAAGTACTTTTCTTTCTGATAACTGTAATGTATCGGAAGTTCTCTAAAACCTGAATATTGCAACCAAGCTATCCACCGTAAACAGCCACCAATGCACCAGCCCACATGCAAGGTCTTAAAACTCAATGGGCCAGCAGACATCGTATTCACACTTGTTCAGATATTTTCATTGAATTGCCCAATCAAGACCAAAAAACCTGTAAAGAGAAACATAATGGACACAAGCCTAGAGTGACCTTCACCACTTACCTGTGGAACATCTGTGTAGTCAAACAATCTGAACACCACCCTGGGCAAGGGGTAGGTCATTGACTTGTTGTGAGATGGGGGAATGATCTGGGGGAGAGTATGCTGGAGAGCATCGCAAAGAACACTATCGAAGGCCAGATATGGTCGAATCAGCTGCTTCTCAATCCACTTGCTATTTCGCAAGTTCTTGATCTGAGCCCAAAGACAGTCCAGATACTGAAATGAGACAAATTCCTTCCACATGTATTATAATTTACAAGATCAAAGACACAATAATTTTACATAGAAAAGCAATAATCAAAGTTCTGAATGCAGGTCATGGCAGCCTAAACATTGATCAAGCGCTGATCGTGGCAGTATGCACAGGTCTAGTAAAATGTGCAATACAAGGCAAACAGTTCAAATTTTTCTACAAGTGACTGGTACACTGTATAGAATTGATTTCTGTCGCTATTTTGATCACTCCCAGGTTCATTCAATAACATACGTTTTTGCTCACCTTCTTAATTAATGTAGTAACTTAAGACTTTGACAAATTTGCCATGTCAATATGTCAGGACAATGATGGAGATCTTGGTTAAGACTCAGATGAGGACATTCCAAAGATACAGTTGAGTCTGAACATGGTCAATCTGAAAACAGCGCTAATCCGACTGAAAATAGAATCCCTGATTTTTATTTTTTTTGGCCTTTGTAGCACTGTAGCTAATAACATTGCATTTCTGAGCATAATAAACCTAGAACTTTTGTCATTTTTCTTTATTCTCACAATGTACAAGATACTATGTAAACAGAGTCTTGATCACCAAATCCAATAAAAAGTGAACGTTATAGCTGAAAGTATATTGAGTTTTTTCAGTTTTAGTAGAGGGTTTACGGCGCTCGCAACTGCATCAGGTCATATGAGCACCAAGGGGTGGATGTCAACAGAGAAGTCCTTACAGGGAATCAGGCTTAAACTGCTCACCTCTCTAGCTTCAACAACACAAAGTCTGTTTCAACTATCAAGGCACCCCAAAAATAGCGGGTCACATGAGTGTGACAAACATACAAAAGAAGTAGAGAAAAAATGACGATAGTAAAGATTAGAAAAGAAAACGCAGCAGTTCCCAGTTACAGTTTAGGCACAGTTATGAGCATGAAACTGAAGAATCAGCCCATTTACAATTTACAATTCTACTGTGCATAAGAACATAATAATATCTCCCCTTTAGGAATGCCCTAAAGACACTTCAGTCAGCAGCACTGCCGCGGGGGATGAAATTATGTTTTAAGGACGCACGCTTTAGACATAGCTTTTAACACATTACACCCTAACTCGCCCAGGATAGCCCGCGAATTTCCTTACACGCTCTTCAGTTTGATACTGAAACAAAATTTTTCGGGCCAGTACTTTTTGTGTACAGCCGATTGAAGTGCTAACACATTTCCGACACTTCCAAGGTGCTTCAACTTGTTGAAAAGCAACACAATTGAGTTTGAAAAAGGAAATAACGATGGATTTGATCAAGAACAAGCATAATATGACAAATCAGATGAATCAGATATTGATGAAAACGTTGTAGCAAGAGTTAGGGATGATTCAGATCGATCAGATGTAGAATTTAGATCCAGGGCCCGACTGCGAAGCTGAGAGTGAGAGTGACAGGTCGGACACCTCGATTGGGCTAAAGTCAGAATATTTTTAACAGTTTGTGCATACATAAAGTAATATTTTTCCGAAACTACATTAATTTCTCTTTCCAATATTTTTTCAGGATTTTAGGAATGTGTTTAGAGTTTTTTTTAGTGTTTATTAAACGCTCGTATTCACGCGAGGTGGGTTCCTTTCCCTTGCTTAGGATCTAGGAATGGACTTCCCGTCCAGACCCTTAGGGTGTAATGTGTTAATGAGTAAACATATAAAGTGGGACCAAACAAAATATCTGGCAGTCCTTTGGGTATAATTCTAGGCGAACAGACAAAATATTTCAAGGTGTTAACAATACAAACCTCCTCTTGTGGGTGAGGTCCATCATTAGACCAAGCCTTCAGAGCCGGCAAATGAATCTTTTGCCTTTTGCTGTAAAAAAAAAAAAGGTATAAGCTGGTTATAAACACTGTACATTCAACACGACTTAAATTGCCATATATCATGAAAAAAATATCACCATATATCTATACAATGTAAGTGGTGTTGGTGAAGCAGTAGTAAGGGAGGGGGAGGAAAACACTCAAGCCACTCCACTGAAAAATAAGTCCAGATAAGCACAAATGTTTGAAATAGGGAAGTCTCTTACTTTCTTTGAAATATTGATCTTGCTTTGACCACCACCACCTTTGCCCTCTTCAACAGTCAAAACGCTTGAGTTTCTTTTTGACAAGTAATCATGGCATATCAAACTGATACTTCAAAACACTTGCTGAGTTTCTTTTTGACAAGTAATCATGGCATATCAAACTGATACTTTAAAACACTAACGTATTTCGAAAGATCTGTGTCACCTACTGTAGCTCTGATCATTATAAACTAGGTCAACACCAGGCAGACACAGTTTGAGTACGAAACTGGGTTGTTGTTTGTACTTTTCCTTCCCTCCTCAAACAGTTAACTTTTATTCTCAATCCACACCAGAGTTCTGCTTTCCAAATGACCTAGGCTACTATTGCATTAGCTAGATAGTCAAAGTTGAAGAGAAACAAAAATATCTAAACAACTTTTATCTTTTCCATCATTTACAAGAACAAAATACTAACCAATAAAACAGTCTAACTTACCTCAGATAATTATCGATGGTGGAAAGCACAGCATCCAACTCTTTCTCTTTTTTCTCATACAGCTCACGCCCAACCTGAAGAAGGCATTTTTTAACATGAGCTAGGTAACAGCAACAACATACAAGTAATAACTGTAACATATCAATCTCATTTTTAATTAGTTTTTAGTTTAGGCCAAAGTTTTATGGCACTTGCAACACAAATAGGCCATAAAAGTGCCAAAGATTAGAGGGGTTGAAAGAGAGATAAAAAATGGATGAGAGATTAGGATGACAGAGGTTTGATAGAAAAGAAGGAGCAAACCACATCAGAGCACCCGCAAACCATCCATATTCTATTAAGATTCAGAAAGTGTTTTGTGGCACTTGCAACACAAATAGCTCATATAAATGCCTAAGATTAGAGGTGATACTATACTAGAGAGTAACATGCAAAGAATAGAAGGGGGAGAGATAAAAATGACAGATGTTTGAGTGGAAAGAAGGAGCATACCACACCAGAGCACCCGCCTACCAAACCAATTATACTTTAATTTTTCTATAAAGATACAGAATTACAGTATCAACCTTACAACCTTACAAACAAAACTTGAATTTACTTTATACATATAAAAATGACAACATACCCAGGGTAGAGATGAAAGCACCAAATAAACATAGATGTCTGAACGAACCTGTAAAAGAAAATTTATAAACATACAAATATGGCTGAGCCATGAATGCTTACCTGAAAACATTAAATTCAGTACAGAAATAACTCATTAAATGAATTTGCCACAAATATCTCAGAAAACACAACCACCTATGATAATAATGCACTGTAAAGACAATGACAAATTGAAGTTGGGAAAATTCAAATGCCTAGCACAATTAAAACCTCATGAACATTCATCTTATCACATCGACATTTTACTTATTCCACTATTTAATTAACAATTACAGCACCTAGTATGCGCTCACTACTGCTACGCAACCAGGCACACTAAACATAATTAAACAACGAATGGACGCACTGCACTGAAGTAAATACTAAAGAAGTCACTCAATATGATAGCTGAATTGTTGATGAACCTATCTGAATATGTCTGGTATGTCCAATTCATTAAAATCAAATTCTAATTGAGCATCCTAGAAAAACCCTGCTCAATTACAGAAAATCCGGCAGTCCCACAGATTTAAGTTTACCAGACTCCACTGTATTTCAAATTTCCATTAAAGATCATGGTTGTTTGTTACAAGATGGCAAAAACATAGCCATTTACAACTAGATGCAATAATCATATTATTACTAATGACTCACTTGAGGGATGTTATCCTCCAGTGTAACTTCAACAAAGCTGTCATACATTTGTATGAGAGATGCAGCCACAAGCACATGACAGTTGACCAAGTCTGACAAAAATCGAACCTGTAATAGACATGGGTTTGGTAAGGTTGCCTTTCAATAAAGTGTGAATGAGTGTGTGGGTTTTTAAAAAATTCTTTTGTTGTTTTCTCTGTTGTTTCAGTACTACCCTCTTCAAAGTGACAACAAAGAAATAAGTAGGCCCCCAATGAATATAAATTAAGTTGCACTTCATGTCAGCAAACGCAAAAATTTAAATATAAAAATACAGTCAAATCCCGTGCTACAACCCCCTCCCCATGTTTTACCGTCAGGTTTAACCAGGGTACAAAAAGGAACACTTTAAACCTATACAAGCATAGTATTTGAGCCTTTCAACCATCACCCACCAATTGTCTAAGTTAAACTGTCTTTATCAAACTAATGTAAGTTTTCCCCACCATAGTGCCAGTGAACTGGCTGCCAGAGGTAAACGCTACATGAGGCAAACGGCACCCACTGGGAGGCCCCTTGATAATCTCTCTTTCGCATACGACTCTCAACTTTTAGTTGAAGTTTTTGTAAGAGTTTTACGGCACTTGCAAAACAATAAGGTCATTTAAGTGCCGAAGTTTAGAGGCGTTACAAGCGAGTAACAAACACAAAAAAAGGATGAGAGAGAAGGACGATAGATGTTTGATAGGAAAGAAAGAGCAAACCACACCAGAGCTCCTGCCAACCACCCACTCTCTCAACTTTAACTACACGTAAATCACCAACCAAAAGACACTTTTCAAACACAAATCACGCAGTATAATCATTTCTCTTGACATTGTACAGTTGGGGCTATATAACAAAAGACAGCATCACAACCCAATTACTCTGCCAGCTGCCAATTTCCACCAACTTTATGCTCCCAAGGGTGGCGGTATAACAAGATTAGACTTCTTTGCCATGTATTATACTTTTTTTTAAATATGCAATTCATCTTACCATCATTCTGGCATTTTCAAATTCTCCAGTCTTCAAAGCCTCTTTCAGATTCCTCACCAGCATCTCAACAAACTGTATAGATGAAAACCACAGAAAAAAAACATCAACGTGTTATACCAGCTATGATTACTGGGAATTAACATTTTGGGAATTGTACAGATACTAATCACTTTGTTGTGTGTAAAAAAATCACTAAATCAATACTGCACATGCTACACTTGATAAAGACGTATTCACCCCTAAGTAACCCCCCCCCACACACACACACCCTCCAAACGCTTCACACACACATATCTGCATTCAATAAATTCAAGCTTCAAAGAAGACAAACAGCAAAAGATCTCTTCAATTGACTAATGGGCTTTAAACTCTTTATTATTGCAAATCTGGTCTTCAAAGTGCATAATTTTTCCTCAACATTGGCAAGTCTGCGAGGTGCGATACTAGAAAACAGAGACATATTTTGGATACAAAAACGGACATCCTACTCAGACCCTCAAAAACATATTAAATACATTTTTTTACGTACTAGCTATGGAATTGCATAATAATGTTGTTCACAATATAAATACTGTACCTCTCCACCACAATTATAGTTCTTGGCATTCAACAAACCCACTAGTGTTGTGTACACAGTCAGTTTTTCAGGCAATTTCACAACACTGCAGAGAAAACCAAAAGAACAATATGACTTTTACTTAACATAACACAGAACAAACGAAATCATGTTGTATTTAAATTTAAGATATAATAATAGTAATAATAATAATAATAGTAATAATAATAATAATAGTAATAATAATAATAATTTTTTTTTAAACAATAATCTTAACAGCATTTTTTCTGAAAACCAGTCCATAGGGTCCATAGATAGAGAATCAGAAATAAGTACTCAAAGAGCCAACACTGTCACACATTAGCTCACACACTTTCTTTTCCATCCAAACAACTCCATGGACACCACCAAGAGATAGCTTATCACATCAATCTTTATATCAACATTATTCTTCCAAAGCCAGAACTGAACATTAGGTAAAACCCTTGACAGCAAAATTACTGTGTACAAGAAGAAATGTCTCTTCAAAACCGTAAACATCACCAGAAGAAGCAGGCAAAGAAATGAAGAAGTAAGAGCAACTATTTGCACAGAGTCCAGTAACCATAACGCAGACCCTGTCCACAGCGGCCTCTTGTCATTTTTCTCAAAGATCTTAAGTGACCATGGTGTATCCTAAGTGACCATGGTGGACAGGTTGGACTGTATTTATATTCAAATACAACAAGTTTACGAGATACCCTCAAGAGCAAATTACTTACTCCTTCCGTCTAGTTTTTATTAAAAATAAATTATGAACACAGCAAATTAAATTCATCATGTTATTCTTCAACTTCAATACTGAACAATGTGACTACATGAAACTGTAGAGGTTGCTTACCATTCACACAAAATTTTCATAATTTTGTGTTTATAGTTTGGAATATCTGCTTCAAGCACACCAGCCAGGCCCTCTAAATTGCTTTCCAGGGAGGATGTACTCTGAAATATGAAAATAAACAAAAATGAGAAATTATTTTCTCTCTCCTCCCTCTCTTCTCCTTTTGTAATCTGAAAATTATAGCCTCTTACTACTTATACCGTCAGAAGTAAATTTAAAGATCTTTACTTCAAGGGGAGACGCAGCTTCCTATTCATGCTCAAGAGGTGGAGTTGGTGCAAATACATCCATTTATCAACATTTTAATTATTAGATGGAAAAATATGTCCTGAACACATTGAACTAGGTCCCAGATCAGCAAAATGAGCGGAAAATTTTTTAGGTAAGGTTACAATATTTTTCCAAATTTATTTTTTCAATCTCATTGAAATTGTGCATGCTTGTTTGAAATTGTTTGGTGCTCCTAATTCCAAAGACCTTGGAAGCTAAAAATTTACATATTTTGGGCCTTTAATCAATATTTTTCAGTAAAATACACACAAAAATGTGTTTTCAAATGAACATAAAAAGGTGTGGAGTCAATAAAAAGAAAATTAGAACAAAATTGACAGACAAGACGGCCAGAAAAACTTCAGTTTCTTTGATTTCAATATTTCGATGAGCTACACAGAGAAAGACCAAAGAGACCTAGGAGAGAGAGGAGATGCTCCGTTCACCTCGTCAAACTGACCACAATGCAATCAGCCATTCTGCCCCCCCAAATGGAGAAGATACAAATCCTATTCCACCAACTGTAAAGAACGCTAGTGTTCTGCATACAAAGGAGATTACACTGTCCTAGGTTTAACTCACAACTGAAGAACAGTTTCCATCCAAATGTCCAGGGTAAAAGCTCCACTGCATCAAAAGACATCATAAACCCTAAAACCTTTGATTTTAATGACCACCTCTAACTGCTGACTAGTTAGTTTTCAATCTTCAACACACTGAATAAAGCAGTAAACATAAGATGAAAACACCTTTTCTCCGACACGAGTGATAAGAGACTCCAGTCTGTCTTCAATGTCCACGCCACCATCAGTTGCTATCCTCCTCCTCTTCCTGCCTCTGTCATCTGAGATGGAGACAAAAGAGGTGTATTACACCTTTTTAGCAAAAGAGAAAATAAAAAAGTAAACAACTTTCACACTAATTAATATAGCATACTCTCACCAACACTGATCAACACAGCTGATTAACTCCTGTCCTGCGTCTGTGAAAAGATGCGAGTCTTATCAGTAACTTCTTACAACAGATGTTCCCAGCAGGCCGCCGGGGTCAGTAAGCGTGTACTGTTAGTGTACAGCCAGTGGCACTGGAAATGTGTTTTCACCATAAATACCGTGGGGGTGTGTTAATCGATGATGAAAATAACGCTCTATCTTTTATAGCTTTTTATTTTTATAAAGTGTTACAAACACATGATGAATAACCCCCTCTCATAAGCTGATAAGACATTACGAGTAGTTACGCCCATTCTAATAACTGTTTTAGACGCTCTTGTTGTTACAAATGATCTGAGGTTCGAAAGCGAATTTAATATACTTCGTTTTCTAAAAGCCTTGGTCTCAAATTGTCCTATTTACCTGCACAATGACAATGGTATTCAAAACTATCAAAAATAAGCTTAATTTTATCAGGTAGAGAAGGGTCGGCTCATCCAGCAGGTCGGCCCATCTGGCCACCCCGCTCGAACTCCCTATTTGTATACAGTGGTTTGCCTGTGCATGTCTCCATACCTCCTGGTTAAGAAAATATTTCGTTTTGTAGCATTTGCGAATATTTTTACGTACTTCCGGTGACCTTTCCACCTCCGTTTCATTTTGGGGTCGATTTTGGTCTTCCGCAAGAGAAAACGTAATCCATTCAATCTGGTTGGCTTAGGCTCTCTGCTTCATCCAATCAAAGTTAAGGTCTATTTTTAGCTTTAACAGACTTCATAAATGTGACTATTTTCGTTTTCCCTTGGCTTAGAAGCAACGAGGTTGCGCGGCACGGGTGGGTGGGGGGGCGGCCAACCCTGTGGTATGAGCCAATTTAAACATGCTAGAGCGTTCCCGCGTTTATCAACATCTGGCAGCATCCTTTCCTGTGGCACAAGATTCTTGGCTGGTCGCTGTGATTGCTTAGAAGGCCTCAGCCACCTGTGCCACCAACTTTCAGTAGAAATGACTACAAAGAAATGATACTCACAAAGAGGAAAGCGAAAGAAGAACAACAGCAGAAGGAAGAGAGACAGAAGCAAAGGGAGCAGAGAAAGAAGGAACTGTAAGCATGAGCTGAAGACAAGTAGGAACGCCAAAAAGAGAAGAAAAAACAAAGGGAGCAGGCAAAGAAGAAGAAACAGGAGGAGAAGAAGAGGAGAATTCAGGACAAAAAGATGAATGCTTTGGTTGTGGCCTCACAGAAGAAGAAAGAGGATGAATATTCCTCTGAATCGGGAGAAGAGCCGGTCAATGACGACAGCTCTGACAATTGTGAGGACATTACAGTCGACTGTGCTGGGTGTGGAGCCACCGCCACAGGACAAGTAGGGTGCACCCAGTGCATGCTTTGTGACAAGTGGTGGCTCACCAACTGTGCCAAACAGATGGACCTGAAGGACAAGACTAAGGAAGACCTGGATGCCATGGACATTGTGCTCTTTTGCTGCGTTGACTAATCTTCCCATCCCAATTTGTTTTATACAAAGAATATGAACAATATCTTTGTTTAGGCTCTCGGACTGGCAACCGTAAGGTCGTGGGTTCGAATCCCGTCAGGGGCCCGACGTTGTGTCCTTGGGAAAGGCACTTTGCACAAATTTTCCTCACTTCACCCAGGTGGAAATGGGTACCCAGCTATAGACAGAGAAAGATCCTGTCAGTTTGATATAGTGTTTGAGCACTTGAAATCCGCAGCTTGCACTGTATGCTTCCGCGGAAGCTGAGAATGTTTCGGAGTGTTCTATGGTCTGCTGGGGTAATAATATAGTGTAAAGCGCATAGAGCCTGCTGTTGAGCGGGGATATGCGCTATACAAATGCTATTTATTATTATTATTATGTGCAATTAGATCCACATGTAGATCTACTTTGCTGTTCTTATATCATTTAATTCATGATTTTCAGAGTTATCTAGACTCACTAAAGTAAAGATTACTGTTTACATTGTAAGTTTTGGCTTCGGTTATTTTTTGTTTTCTTTCTATTTTGGCAATGTATACATAAAAATTGAGCGTCACTTGTAACTCTAACTCTTGTGTAATATGTAAGAACATTTATATTCCTCCTTTGTGATTAGAAAATCATATGTTGGCTTATTAGATTCAATAAAGAAGTTATTAGGGCATGTTACAAAACCCGCCATATCCTTGCACGCAGCCCCTCCATAAAACGTGCCACCCTCCAGCAGGAACGCGCATCCCCACTGATCGTCGCACACACCCGCCCTCACTTTGCCACACAAAAGCCACTACTGAGGGAGACGGGTAAACGAAGCAGGCATAGCGCGCTGGGCCGACGATAGCAGACGAAATTTGCTTCTCATCAGTTATTGTGGGGTTACCTCCCCACTCACCTGGGACCGGCAAAGTGATTCTATATGTTTATGGTTGCGCGGACTACCGCCTCTACTCTAGAGCTATTCTACAGTTGATTATAACTGGTGGAGGGGTTGCCAGATTTGCCGCAAAAATTGATCTAGTTACGAGGCTAGTCTAGATCTAGATCTCTAAATGAAGATTGCGGATGTCTTTTCGATGAACGATCGTTTTTCCTCCGTTTTGGAGTTGGACGAATCACAATTTGAAGAAAAGAAACAATGTCATAATTTCAATCGAGCAGTCACCCTCTCTATTTCTCTGCCTCTCTCTCTCCTCTGTCTCTGTGTATCGCTCGCATTCTCTTTTTCTTTGTCTGTCTTTCTTTCTCCCCACTCCCACCTATTTCCCACTCTATCTTTCTCTCATTCCCTCCTGCCGACTG